TGCAGCACGACAGCCAAGCGGCGCAATCCTGGTTCTTGAAGTCACGCCGGAGACAACAGGCAAGGAGCTCAAGCAGCAGATCAAGCAAGGACAGCCCTGGGACGAGCTCACTCGCAGCACTACAAGTGTGGAGATCATTGTCGGAGAGGACCAGTTGCTTCCCAATGATGCAAAGGTATTGGAAGCCGGAATTGCTGAAGATACTGTTGTGAGTGTTGTGTTCAAACCAAACAAAGTGATATGCTCCAACAAAGATGCAATCGCCACTCTTGGTGGCATCATTGACCCAGAACTGCTGCTCGTGGTCGAGATTCCAAATAGTGAAACGCAAATTGTTGAGGATGCGTTTGACGAGTGTGAAACATTAGCGATGCTGACCATCCCACAGTCTGTGACCCGCATCGGGAGTTGTGCCTTTCAGGGTTGCAGCTCTTTGTCAGACTTGGCCATCCCAAACTCAGTGACCTACATTGGAGAATATGCCTTTCAGGAATGCAGTGCTCTGGCAAGCTTGACCATCCCGGATTCAGTGACCCACATTGAGCAGGGTGCCTTTTGGCGTTGCAGCTCTTTGGCAAACTTGACCATCCCAGACTCCGTGACCCACATCGGCGACGGTGCCTTTGAGGAATGCAACTCCTTGGCAACCTTGGCCATCCCAAATTCAGTGACCCACATTGGTGAGCGAACCTTTCGTGATTGCACCTCCTTGGCAAGCTTGACCATCCCGAGCTCAGTGACCGTCATTGCGGGTTCTACCTTTCGTGGTTGCAGCTCTTTGGTGAACTTGACCATCCCGGACTCTGTGACCCACATTGGGAATAGTGCCTTTGAGGCCTGCAGCTCTTTGGTGGACTTGACTATCCCGAACTCAGTGACCCACATTGGGACCCGTGCTTTTAGGCATTGCACCTCTTTGGCAAACTTGACCATCCCTCAGTCAGTGATTTACATTGGAACATACGCCTTTGAGGATTGCAGCTCTTTGGCAAACTTGACCATCCTCAACTCAGAGACGCGCATTGGGCACGCTGCCTTTAAGGGTTGCAACTCTTTGCCGCATGATGGCCCTGGTGATGGTCCTACTGGCCACAAAAGACGCCGAACTGGGCTTTGAGCCCTTGGCCGAGGACCACGAATGGGTCGACCGCGATCCAATGCGCCACCGGAGTCGGTTCAATCCAAAAAGGAAGGATTCGACCCAAAACGGCGGAGTCGGAGTCTTGGGAGGGTTCCGGGACCACATTGCAACACAGCAAATCCATACATTGTGTTTTGTTCCAAAAAGCACGATTCGGCCCTCCCTGACCAAACGCGTGAGGACGTCTTTGGAGGGCTGCGGATTTAGAAACCAATCCGGCTTTGAGGGCTGTTTTCAAGCAGGGACTTGGAGGAAAGGTCCGACAGGTTTGTTTCCGCAGCAGGAGTGCGCCGAAGGCACCTCTTTTGGCGCCGGAGCGGCGAAAGCGGCGCTGCCAGCGGCGAAGGACGTGCCGGCTGTGTCCGGAAGATGAGCCTCGAGTGTAGAGGTCCACTACCCACCAAAGTCTTTGGGATCGTTGTGTCTACAGACATCGTTGTGAGTATGAAGAATCTATCTGAATGTATGACATGTATGAAGCATGTGTCTTAAATTCCTGAAGTTGTATGGGCAAAAGCTGCCGAATACTAACCAAAACCATCAAGATCACACCAGACTGGTTTGCTCGAGGTTTGCTTCGCCACCTGGTTTCGCCTGGTATGGGCTGTAACAGGACCCCATGGGCCCATGGGATCTTGCTAGGAGAGCTTTGGGCGATCAAACTGAAGGAGTCGTCCTGGACGACGTGAGGACGTTGTCGCCCAAGGGATCAGGGTCGATGTCCACTCAAAAACCAGTGCTAGGATGAAGAGAAAACAACAACCCAATTAATTGAAGCTAAGGATGTGGTCATAGTATGGTTTTCAATCCCTATTGAACTTATTGAATGATAAGAGAAGACACCCGTAGAAAATGGCACATGACCCCATAAAAAAACAGGTACGGCTGAGTCCCCATTTTCCGAGGTACGAACGGGTCGACTCCAGGTACTTTGTGATGTGATTTGTTAGAATTCATTCAGCAATGCTGATTGACTAATTGTGTAAGTGTTTGATGAAATTTTCTTTTGACGAGCCTGGAACTTCTGAATTGGAAAGACATCGTAGATAGCCTGATAGCCATGTTGACCCATGATCAAACAGTTTTCGCGGTGAAATGGAGACCTTGATGTCGCTTGCTTTGGGTGCCTGTCGGAAGAACAGGAGTGCTGGGAGAGAACCTCCTGGGCGCCGGCACTTTGGCCGCTTGGTTTGTGCGACTTCATGTGGAAGATCTTGGTCTGCTGCGTCAAACTGAAAGAGTAGTGTGTTGTTCACCCTTTGAAATGAAGCTTCAGCGTGTCCAATCGTTTTGAATTTTGGGGTTAGACTGATCTGGCTTAAGGCCGGAGTGGATCATGCTCGAATGCTCTGGTGCCGGAGCGGACTGAAGAGGAATCGACGTCACCAGACATCCCTAGGTAGTCCAGGAAGCGACGATTTAAGGCACCACCCGGTCGTGTTCAGGAAGTTCCTGCACTCCCGAACTAACAATAGGGTGGTGACTTGTTAAAACGGTCTGTTCCTTTTCACTCGGATCACCGTTCGTCAGACCGTTTTAACAATAGTCGACTGGACGAAACCGGGGCATGGTCAACCTCTTCCGCTTCATCTGCTCCACGGCCGGGTCCTCCAGTGCAGCACTGCACCCGCCCGCCGGTTGACCGGCGTCGGGGTTCGCTAGCGGATGGTGGGCTGGGGCGAAACTTCCAGCCAGGTGACCCCGAGGTCCAGGCAGGTGCTGGTACAGTCCAGAATCCTGGAAAAGAGCCATTAGTGGGGTAGCTTCTGACCCACGTTGGTGCACTTGAACCCTGCTGATCCTCCAGCGCTTCGTGAACCACGGATCCAGACCGTCCCTGATCCTCGAAGCCTAGGTCCGGTGCCGCCACGTGCCGCAGCTACGGTCGCTTGAGGTCTGTGAGGGACGTGCGCCGGTAGACATGGAGACGAGTAGAGGCGGAAAGAGAACCAACAGAGGTGGATCAGAACCCGGTCACGAACTCGACTCTCCTAGCTAGTTCGGCTGCCCCTGGTGACTCACGGGTCCGACTCGTGACCTGGTCACGAAAACCACCTTTGTTGGAAAGGAGCGGGGTCCTTTTTCGTATGCTCCAACCATGCTTTTCAGGCGTTGAAGATGTTCTAGTCAGGAGTCAGGAAAATTGATGCACGACGGTCATGTCGGAACGCTCTTCTTCTTTCCAATCATGGAACTGGAATATGTAACAGCGACCCTCAGTTTCCCCTTTGAAAAGAACCGGTCTTCAAAACAACAACCATGTTGGAATCCTTAAGTCACCCCAACTGAGCGTCCCATGAATGCTTGGGGTAAGGGCGGCGCCTGGGTGGCATCGTAATTCAGAGCCGCCGGTGAAAGATGATCACACATGAGCCGCCGGTCTCTGTACCGACGATGCATGTATACCAGGGGCCCCGAACCAAACCATACCAAAAATAACGGGGTTTCACATACCTGGACCCTCCGACCCTCGGGGTGTCCTGGCTGGACTACCCCACACTACCGGCCGTTCGGCTTCCAGACAGGCTTCCAGACAGGGCACTCCTTGGCTTCGGGGGTTCCTCATACCCAAGTCAGTTTGTTTGCTAGGGAAAGCCAGGTTTTTGATGGGCCATGTGGGGCCCCTGCTAGGCCCGCATGGTGGCCCGCACATCGGCAGATCAGGCGTTTGAAGGCTGTTTGGTCGTGCCAGCAGATCCAGCAGGAATTGGGTCACCGAGGACGTTGACACGCACCCAACATGTCGGAAAAGGCCCTGGACCTCGGGTGCTTTCACGGGGAGGTGGCTTCATTGGTCTCTACACCCAAAAAGACATCTTCGAAGACTACCAGGGTCATCCTGTCTGGGTGTCCAATAGACTACCCTACCCTACTTAAACAGGTCTCCAGACAGGGCACCCGTTGGAAGTGCTAGGTACGTGACTATATCTTCATAAGGGATGTGTTGTTCCCAAATGTTTGCAACAGCCCAAAGAATGCCAGTCAACTTCCCGCCCCGCGACCCCAAATATCCCACTAAAGCTGACTCAACACTCAAAGTCTGCATGGTGCAGGTGAGAAGCTGTTGATGCTTGCCGCTGCGAGAAAAAGGGAATGGTCGCTGGTCAAGTTCGTGGAACTGGCGCCGAGACGTTGGGAAGACACCCGTCTTTACCGTAGTTTCAGAGGATTCAATGGGGCGAACCCACAGATGTCTTTCTTTCATGTGGGTGTCCATAGAAACCCCCGAACTTGAGAGAGTGTGCTGTTTGAAAACTCATGAAGCCACTGTAGTAACACTGTAGTACCCAGGACCTTCCAACAGGTCTCCCCTGGTGGCCTTTGCAGACTTAAGAGTCGCAGGTAGTGACCTGTTGCAGGGTGCTGGTAGATGGTGCTCATGGAAACGGCAAAAACGGCCCGTTTGCCCATCTTCCATCGAGTAGCTCTTTTTTGTGTCCACGCAATAGGTGATTCAGTTCCGTGGCGAAGTGAGTCTTCACCAGGACCCCTCCGAGTCATTGAGGTGTCTGTACTTCTTGACCCTCCGTTCGCCAGGCTGTTTTGGGACCCTGACAGGTGGTGAACCTGGGCACCGGACGAAACACCGGAAACACCTGGCCAGGAGGGTCCAGGTATACACAGACTCTTGGAGGTGATTCGGGGTGTCCAAAAACCACCTGACTTGGAAGGTCCTGGTGGTAGATCTCAAGATTGATATTGACAAGTTTTCTTGGTTCACGGCAGGATGTGGGGTGGACAAAATCGTGCCAATTCTCATGCATGGAGTGTTGACAGGGGGTTGTGGCAGTTCTCATCCCTACTGGCCTCCAAAAACACCACCTCTACAGCCAGAGAAAGCCTCGGGGCCCGACTCCTCATGTCCGCTGACCTGACGAGTGTCGGCAAGAAGCACATGCCCAGCACATTTCGTGCCTTGGAGATCTGCTGGGACGAATCTGCTGGGCATGGTTTTTGTGCCATGCTGTCTCATGGAGTGTGGTTTTAGGGGGGAAGAAATGCCATGCGAGACCCACACATACCCACACTGCAGCATGCCTTCTGGCCATGTGCCAGAAGACCGACAGTCTTCGCCAATTTTGGCGAACATGGCAACTTCCCCAGACAGCCACTTCCTCGCCAGGCGCTGATCGCGGTGTTTCACACCACGGCTGTGCCCCTGCAGGCGCTTCAGCGGCGGAATGCGGACTGCGGAATGCCGTTGGAATCGCAAGGGTTTGGTTTGGTTTGGGGGGATGAAACCATCGAAACCATCGGCGGAAGCGGGGTTCGTGATCAGGCACCGGAAACGGGCGGAGTTGCCACGCGGAGTTGGGTGGTTTGGTTCGTCCCGGGCGAAGGTGCAGGTGATGTATCAAGGCTGTTGCAACTCCTTCGTCCGTGAACGTTTGGCAGCCCGAGCGACGAGCGACGTGCCTGGCTGGGACGTTCGGAATCAGATTGAAACATACCGGGAGTCCCTGGGGTAGCTAGTCCCATCCAGTGAGTGGATGTGGAGTAGCTGGGCACCCAACTCCTTCCTCCATTCGTCTCGCGCCCCGTCGAACGTGAGCCATGTGCGACGGTCGCAGGCGGTGCCCGTGTTCCTTTGGCCGGGCACTGAGAGACGCTCGAGCTTCGCGGTTCTCGGTGAGGAAGGACCCCAGCAGGTCAAAAACCGTTAAGTCATGTTCTTCCACCAAAAGGAAGAAGGATACCATAAAGGAGTATAGGCGAGATAGGAGTATATGATTGGCAGTCCCATGGCAGTTGCGTTTGGATAAAATCATTTGACCGTCTCGGACGACTCTCAGAGTTCGGATTGGAACCAAGATCCGAGAAGAGGTGGGGAGCGAACCCGAACGTCGTTCGACTATCCTAGCTAGTTCGGCTGCCCCAGGTTTTCCGGGTCCTATAGTTCAGGTCGAGTTCCGGGTCCTATAGTCCGAGAAAAAAGGAGATCGCGATGAGAAGGCGTTCATGTTCGGTGGCGAGCGGAAGATTCTTGTCCCGATCCGCCCCAGGCCCCAGGCAAGCGAGATGTTTGGTTTTTGTCCAGGGGTCGATTCTCATCCTTTCAAGGATCGCAATCCAGCACCTATGGGGAGAAACCTCAAGCATCCTCACCCAGAGTTCGATTCTGTCGGGGAAATCATGATGACAGTGCCGTGTTCCTCTTTTCCATCACCAGGACCCACGCGCTCGGGGTGGTTAATGGACACCCCGAATCACCTCTGGAGCTATCAATAGAAACCCCTAACAGGGTGTCCTGGTATAACGCCCCAAACAGGCACCGCCAAACGCTGGAGTCTTCGCCGCGCGTCGCCACGGCCGGCGCGGCGGAACGCGGTCGGCGCGAGGCTTTGGTGGCAGATGGGGCCCTTGGCGCTGCTGATCCTCCTAGGCCGAGCGGCGGTTGGGCGGATCCCCGGTCCCGTTCAGGTCGCCGTGCGCCACCGCGGACTGAGGGTGTTGGGCAGGTCCGTTCAGCGTCAGTGAGGGGATGATTAGGCCGGAAGATCAGTTGGAGAGCGTGGCCCGGAGGTGTAGAGAGGAAAAGGCAAGGAGCATGGAGTTTGGTAGGCTCTGAGGCGTCCAAGCTTGCTGGTGGAGATGTGTCTTAAACTATAAGAGACGTTTGCGAGAAAGGGTGCAGGTGTTTGACACATGGAAGAGAAAACCTCAAGGTTTGTGTCATGTGCGACATGAGGTTCCTGTCACTTCCTGTCCTAGTCTTGAGGGATTTGCTGAAACTGCTTTGAGGGGATTTTGTTTACCACAAGAGGAACCAGTGCTTGGCCAAATGTTCAAGCTCAGGCAACTTACTTACAGGCAAGCCTACTACAGTTTGTCCAAATCAAGACCTTTTCAGCTTTAGGGACAGTGTCATATATTTGTTTACTGGTTCTCAATTTATCAGACCTATTCGGGATGGCAGCATCGTTAGAACTCTTTCGAGTGCAACCTGGCATTGACCCCTCTCTTCTTCCCAAGTCTGGACGTCATTTCGAACCAGGGATGGATCGATCCAGGGTGTCTCAGGACACAAGTTAGCATTGGGGTTGGACAGCTGCCCAGAAAGGATCATTGGGAGGAACCAACGGTTTCCGTAGGGATCCACTGCCACCGAACCGACCCAGTTCGGTACAACCCGACTGGCTGGCGCCTACACATCAATAGTCTCCTTCCTCACCGTACTCTGAGGTTCGGTACGACTGGATCCCTAAGGGTTTCATGTTGACACAGCTGGTCTGGGGATCACCCGGACACAGCTGGTCATGGGAACTGGTGCCAGTCCACCCCACTTCGCCTCATAGAGCTACGGGCCTTTGGAGTTAGGACCTCAGCAGCCCATTCCCACAGCCCACCTGGCCATCTCTGAGGTCAAAAGCTGGCCTTCTCAAGACCTGGCCATCTCTTCTTGACCCCCCCATCCACATTGCCCATCCCATCCACCAAGTTTAGTGGTTTTGAGGTCGCCGGTGCTGCAAGCAGAGAGCTTCTCTCCCCGGTTCCGATGCAAAGATACCCCAGAAAACCATGCTGCAGACAACAGACAGGCCTCCCTGCGAGGTATTTCGGGGGTGTCCACCGTCCTCTCTAGTGATCCTTCTAACATGTGTCTTTCTTCGACACCCTCCAGACATCCCACATAAATCTATCCACGCTTTCTTCAAACCAAGAGATCGTTGAGAGGAGACCGCTGATACCGTTCGGACCCTGGTCGTAGTGGTATATTATGAGATGGGCGACCGCGTCACACGGCTGTTCGTCCAACCTCTCTTGGACACCGTCCTCACGCCACGTCGGTCATCGAAACGTCCTCCAGGTTTGTGGCCGACCACGGCGCACAGCGCTTCCTCCGCCTCCGCGCCGGTGCGGGGCGCCGACTGTCCACTCCGATCCGATCGGTGTTCAACAGCTTGAAGTGGCTGAAGCGACGAGCATCCGACCTCCAACAGGGATGACTTGGATGAATCAATATCCTGATTGAACCTGTTGGACCTATTGCTTTGAACCTGTTGGATAAATACCAACACGCGACGACCAACAGCTCTGTTCTCGTGACCTGTTCAGTCGGGCGCTAAGCCAGATCTGTCCATTACCTTGTTTTTTCCACGGTGTGTCCCATCCCACCAATGGTGGCTGTAAAAGAGAACGAGCGCTTCCATTGGGTGTCCACTGGAGACCAATACAAGTAGTGAGACTTGTACAGCCAAATAAGACCGCTCCAATGTATGCCAACTGAATCAGCATTTCTGGGATGCGTCTCTTTCAGATCGTGTCGTGCAGGCGAGATCGGTTTCATAGAGCCAAAGCAAGACATATATAAGGAAAACAATGGAAAACATGTTTCATCTTGGCACACTCCTGGCTGTGCTCCTTGCTACCATATGCTGGATGTGGATGTCTCTTCAGAACGTTTCTTGCAGAAGATGTTTCACATTCTTCATGTCCACCATACCCAGAGTCGACCCGTGAGTCCTGTTTTTTGGTTCGTGTCATGTCCCATGTTCTATGGAGGTACTGGGTCAGTTGGGTGCCAGGTCTTTGTTCCATTGTTTCGGTCCTTCCCCAGTCATGATGTCTCTTACCACACGATTCATGTGAAGGGTTGTATGTCTTCGAGTTCTTGGTCATGCATTTTTCAATGGGGGATTCCATCCTCCAGCCTTCGAAAACCACGAAGCACCGATGGTCCCTGGCGCATCACCCGCATCACGCGCGGACGTCCATGTCTTCTATCGATGTCCATGGGCCATGGATGTCCATTGTGAGGGTGGGTCGAGCTGCGGGTCCCGCCCTGTCTGGAAGCCGAATTCGGCCGGTAGTGTGGGGTAGTCGTCAGCCAGGACACCCGGTAGTGTGGGGTAGTCGTCAGCCAGGACACCCCAAGGTTCGGAGGGTCCAGGTAATTATAGTCATAGGCACCCTGCTCCGTCCTGCTTTGTCCAGTCAGAGATGCCTTGAAAAAGACACATCTTAGGATGTTTGGTGATAGGAGGGGATGGACCCTCCAATCTCCAAGTCCACTTCGGGGGGCACCTTCCAACCACAGGTTCCCTGGTTCGGCGGATCCGGGTCCACGGTGCAGAGCTTCTTCCTGTGGGATCCGCCCACTTCGAGCATTTGTGCGAGGAGTGTTGGGGGATTCTTTGGTGAATGGCTTCGTTTTTCTTGCGAATTGACACTGTCACAACTGGCAGCTATAGTAAAGGCAGGGTCTTCCCCCTTTGCAAACCATATGCTGCCTTTGAATACAAAAAAACTGCCCAGCTGGGGCAGTCAATGCTCCTGCATCGCGTCCGATCGAATCGATCGGTGTTCAATCGAATCCTCCCAGGTCGAGGCCTTCGTGGCGTATGAGGCCGCCAGCAGGCCCCGTTCCCACCCGTTCCACCACCGTTGGGCGAAACGGCCAAATGCGGAACCGGGGTGTTGTGTTGTTCAAAATGGCACAGGACCCTCCAAGCCTTCGAGGCGTCGATATTTGTTGCCCCCCCAAAGGCGGTCTGTGATTCTGGGTGTCCATGAACCACCCCAGTCGTGGGGGTGCTGGGCGAGGGAAAGGTTATGGTCAAACATGACGAACATTAAACGATCTTCTAAGACATCGCATCACCCTAAGAATCCTTGGGCTCTCCATGGCAGGGGTCGGACCTTCTCCTTCTGACATCCCCATCACGTTTTTAGACATCTGGTGTCCCCAGACGCTCCGAATTCACTTCCGGCGGTTCCCCCTTCCCGAACCATAGTGCCATAGGGATTGGTGAGAAGCTCACCCCTGGCCAGTGCGGATGACCGGGTCACCGGTCCAGGGCCGAACGGGTCGCGTCTGGGGTCTGTATATGTTCATGACGAGGTCAAACATGACCATCGGGTCGCGAAAGAACTGTAGTACCCATCGGGTGTATCTTTCTGGATCGCGTCTGGATCAGAACTTCCATCAGCTCTGCGCAGCAAAACCATCTCCCCATCGGCTCCCCGCTGCTCCCGAGGCAACGCTGGGACCTCATAGAGGCCACGGGGACGGTCCGCGTGGGTCGCGCCGCGACCATGACATCGGAAGGGTCTTCAAAAGCATATTTGGAGGAGTATGTGAACTGTCTATGATGATCTATGTGTGTTTGGGGGGGCACTTCAAGAGAATTCATTACATGATAATACGTTTTGTGGAGAACCAACTCGCGGAGAAACACCCGGTCTTGGGGTATTTGGTTGTCGTTGATGATGCTGTCAATCGTAGGGACAAAGCATACCCCGTGGATCACAGTTACTGTACCACTTTATAAGGAACCAGGGTTTCTAGGTCTATGGTTTTGGTATGTTTTAGTTTTTAATACCACTGGTTACGAGATATATAACGGTGTCGCAGTGGGCAACACCGGACCTGAACCAAATGCCATTGCAGATGCAGACAGATAGAATGTCAGAATACAGGCCGGAAAGAACATCAGAATTCAGAACTGACAGAATACATGCCTTATAGAAGTCAGACTATATGACAGATAGAGTGCCAATGAGTGCCGAATCTACATGCCAGATAGAGTGCACAATTATATATATATAGATCGAGTGCCACATCTATATGCCAGCTAGAATGCCATAATATATGCCAGCTAGAGTGCCAAATCTATAGGCCAGCTAGAGTGCCAGAATACATGCAAGATAGAGTGCCACATCTATATATGCCAGATAGAATGCCAGAATACATGCAAGATAGAGTGCCACATCTATATACCAGATAGAATGCCAGAATACATGAACTAGTAGAAAGTCATAAATATGCAGAAAGAATACCATATTATTCCAGAATGTCAGAAAATATGTCAGGTAGAGTGCCGGATGGAATGCCATAGTGGGGACCACTCGAAGTAAAGTAATGGTTGTTCCGATATTGCTTTAACATAGTAATGACAAAACATGTCAAAGCTTGAAGGGTGTTGCAGGCTTTTCGGTATAGCTATAGAACATGCTAAAACTGTATGTGTTCGACATTTTGTGAAAACAAGCTGAAAAAACCGTAGCAACCCTCACACAATGTGGTTCCATTCCTGCGACTTCCCGCTAGCATGTCTGAAACTGTGAGAACTCAGGACTCTCATTGCTTGTGACGGACTCGGCAGCACGGGGCAAATCCACAAGCCCACGATGGTGGGAAACGCGCAGAGTGCTGAGTTGTTCTTTCTTACGTGACCAGTGCTTGGAGCTATACCAAGAGAGGTAGCCAGTGACCTGAACTGGTACTGGGATAGTTCGGGTCCTGACTAAGTGACCTTACTAAGTGCTAGTTCGGGTCCTGACCCACCTCTGTTGCTACCCGACCAGGCCCCTAAGCCCTGGTCCATGAAGCCAGGCACGTGGGGCACCTGACCTGGCGCGTGCACAAGGCCTGCGGGCGCAGGCGGGAAGCGGCGATCGAAACGCCACAGGAAGCCGCATGCGCAGACTGAAGGTCACAGTCTCTGTGTGGGCCTTGTCCTCCTCTTGTCCTCCTCTTGGCCGCGCCCCTGAACTCTGTCAACTCTGTGGCTGGGC